AAAAAAAAAAAAATAATTAATATTAGTAGTTCATTTTGTTGTTGTTGTTTATTTTGTTTGTTTTTGTAAGGAATTCCTACGACGACATGGGTCCACATCAAAATTATGTCGAAAGGTTCGCAGTGCGGATAATTTGCCATTGGCCTCGGTCAATCGGCAAACTCATCATCAACGAAGAAGTTCCAGAAGCGAAGGAAACGAAGGAGATCGTGAATCCTTTTTGAAACCCAGTCAAGAAGAACAAGAAAGATATGAAATAGCGAGTCCTAAAAGACAAGGTAGTCCTGAAAGTGGTTCAAAGGATTTAACTGAGACATCTTTATTGGACTCCAATTGTCAACAATCCTATTCAAGGTAAGAAAAAAAAAACCATCATTTTCTTTTTTTCCAAATTTATCGAACCATCCTCCCTATCACAAATTTCTTTTCTAATATTTTATTTACAATTCAATACAAATTTGCATATATATGATGAACCATTTATTTTGAAACTAACCTGTGAATACCTTTTTTAATATATTTTTATTTGTTTTTTTTAAACCGTAATTAACATCTACAACTGGAAATTATTTGTCGCAAGAAAATATTTCGTGGAAAAAAAATGAACTTTAATCATGATTCGAATAAAAAAAGAAAGACCGAAATTGGATAATATCAAAATTCATAAGGTGAACTTCAAAACACGTACCAAATACGTCGGTTAAAGACCGAATGATTAGGTTTATTCTTGTACATTAATATTTCTGACACATATCACCAAGTAATCTTGACATTATTCAATTTTGATCTTTCACGATAATACGTATATGTGTGTATGTGTGTATTTTTTTTATTTTCATTTTTTCTTTCTACCGTATATACATAAAAAATAAAAAACGTGTTAAATATTGCACGATAAATTGGAATACCTTTTTTTTTCTATTTTTCCAATTTCCAAAGATTATTAATCGTTCGTTTAAAATAATATGTACGTGTGTGTGGTGTGTGACATTTAGTTTAAATTCCAATCACAACGTGCCTCTGTGATGTTTCTTTTTTTTTTTATATTCTCTGACATGAACGAGAACAAAAAAAAAAAAAAAGGAATATATTCGATATATCGATTTCTAATAGATTCGATATTCTTATGGTTGAATAGAAAAAGTGATTGGTGGGTAGAAAGGTATCAGGATGATTAATCATTTCGGTTAATTTTCTAATTAGACAAATAATCAATCACAAAATAATCTAATTGTATTATTTTTTCTATATACAACCCATATATATATTCGTGTAAATCGATATATTTAATGAATTCAATCAAACTAATTACACGACTTTAATTTGCTAAGCAAAACGAAACCAGACACGATACAAAATATATGAAAGGAAAAAATTGGGACAAGCATATCCGTTGTTGAAACGCATATACATAATACACACACATATAGATACATGAAAGGTAATTTCATTTGTAGAAGAAAGGTGGGTGGGACTTGGTGAAAGGGTATATATATATATATATATATAAAGAGAATAGAATTGAAAAGAATCAGCCAATGGTAACGGTGAAACAATTTGTTCTTTTTCCACATTTTCCTAGGATACACGATCGAAATTATAATTGATCTATGATAACATTTCAAGCGTATTGAAATTCGTTAAAGCTTCCATTTCAGTGTCATTCGCAGACATGATTAATAATGCAACGCCAACGCACTATTGTTTTTTATTTTTTCCTTTATATATATATATATAAGAAAATTATTAAGCGAGTGCAACAAGCGTAAAAAGAAAAATGTCTATCGTCTATTTAAAGTTTGCCATTAAACGAACACACATGCATACGTATCTCGTATACATATTATGTTATTATAAATAACAAAATAAATTGGTACGAACTGTAGATTTAAATCTGTTGGCAATCTCAAGAACAAAATCTTAAATAAATTACCACCCACACTAAAATCACGACTCAATTAATAGTAAGTAATCGTCATAAGGTTGATAATAGGACACACCAAACTTAAAAATGAAGAATCTTCAACCTAATGCTTGTTCTATGAACAATTAACAGTGAACTACATTCTTTTACATTGTCTACCAACAACAATAACATCAATCGTAAAAGAAAATTTATTTAAAACTGCTGAAATCTAAGTGTCTGTATTAAATTAAATCAAATATTTTAAAGAAACTTTTACTGTTCAACAAAATATGAATCAATACTTCCACAAAAATGAAGAATTCCATTCTATGAACGATTAACAGTGGACTATATTTTTTTACAATGCATACCAACAATAATAAAACCAATCCTAAAAGAAAATTTATTTAAAACTGCTGAAACCTAAGTGTCTGTATTAAATTAAATCAAATATTTYAAAKAAACTTTACTGTTYAACARAATATGAATCAATACTTCCACAAAAATGRAGAATCCTATTCTATGAACAATTAACAGTGAACTACATTCTTTTACATTGTCTACCAACAACAATAACATCAATCGTAGAAGAAAATTTATTTAAAACTACTGAAACTTAAGTGTCTGTATTAAATTAACTGAAATATTTCAAAGAAAGTTTTACTGTTGAACACACAAAATATGAATCACATATATCACAAGTGATTTATGCGAGCCTATAAATAATAAAAGTTCTAATAAAAATGTAATAAAAAAATATATTTTCAGGGATTCACCAATACCACCGACAACGTCGTTGGTAGCAAAACGATTCAGTGGGTGGCGAGTAGCAAGTAGTCACGAATACGTTAAATGTCCTATTCAACAACCAACTTCTATGGACGAACGGTAAGAAGAACAAAAAAATAATAATCCTATAATAAATCAATAGAGAGAGAGAGAGACAAAAAAAATTCAAGATATATATCAAAGCTTTTTTTTTTTATCTCGCAAAAAATTTATCTCGATCAATTTTATAGAACACCAAAAACAAAAAAAGAAAAAAGGAAGAGAAGAAAAAATACGAGTAACGGGTGTCAAATTTTTTTTCTGTTGAAATAATAAATGAATTTTCACGGGAAAAAATATATATATAGTGGACCTGAAAGTAATATCGTTTCCATGTACGTTAATACGTATCATTTATCTGGTCATTGTGTATTTTTAAATTTATTTTGTTTAAAAAAAACATGACATTACTTTCCAGTCCCCCACACCCCAATATACATATATATTATAATATATTAAAATAATAAAAATAAAATATTAAAAATATATATATTATATAATAAAAATAAAATATTAAAAATATATATTATAATATATTAAATAAAATATATTAAAAGAAAAATATGAAAGAAAAAGAAATATAAATTGCAGATGTTATAGACGATCGTGCGAACCGGATAGCGGTTTTTTGTCGAGGCATCATCATCATCGGCATCACCATCATCATCGTTTAGATGGGGAACACTATTCGAAGAGTTACGATTATGCAAAACGTACACCAGAATCTAGCATAGACGTGAAACATTTTGGACTACCGATTTTGAGCGTTAGCGAACCAAGCCCACCAGATGAGGATGGTAGAGTCGACGATTATTTGTAGGATTTGCTTGCCGAGGATTTCCTTAAGGAACTCCTCGTATGATATACTATCATATCCCTTTATATTTTCATCTATTTCTCTATCTCTATTTCTATATCTTCCTTTCTTCGTGTATTTTTCCTATATACATATATATCTACCATAAGTGAGCAACCTGTTGTTGTTAAAACAAACATCCGCATAAACCACGAATAGAATATCGATTGAAAATGATACACATTACTATGATAAATATATCAATCTAATCTGTTTCATTTTGCACGTAGACTTTCCTACGCGTAATCAAAACATATTAAATTATCAAATTTTGAAAATAATTTCATTGGAATTAGAACAATGATAATTATATTAATGCAATGTTTCATTTCATGCAATCAATTTTCACAATAAAAATATTACAAATTATTAATATTGAAAATAATTTCATTTGAATTAATACAATGGTAAATATATTAATGCAATTAATTTTTACAATGAAAATATTACATATTATTAATATTGATAATAATTTCATTTGAATTAATACAATGATAAATATATTAATGCAATGTTTCATTTCATGCAATCAATTTTCACAATGAAAATATTACAAATTATCAATATGAATATAATAATTATCAAGTAAGTTCAAAAGTTTGTGCACGTTTGTACGAAATTTTTAAATAGTTTAATGCACACGAACTTTTCAACTAATCTGATAAATTCGACGAATAATATAATTAGGAAGAATTTTGTCTCAAAATGATGATTAATAATCAGGTTGCTCTAAACTCTCGTATCTCTTCTATCTATATATTAATATATATAATTATCTTGATTTATTCATTACTCCGAAAAGCACGATCAACTTAACGTTATTTCAAATTGAAAATTAATCGTTTATACTTAGGACATTCTAAGTACGTAAGATCGATTTATTTTCAATGAACATTTGACTAACGTTAAGTCGATTTATTTCAATTAAAACGTTCGCGTGTATATGAGATACCATAAGATAAGGTATGATTAGAACAAATATTCATCAATCAAATTTGGCAGCTGTGTTTTTGTCATCGTGGACAAATTATACCAAAAAAAAAGAAAAAAAGAACAAAATATTTTATAATGTGTAATTATAAAATTTGAAAAGACAAATATTCAAAGTTTAAAGTATAAATATCTCGTAATACATTCGAACTCGATTTAAATTAATTACTTTTGTCCACGAGGGAAAAAAAAACACCCCATAGCCCTCCCTTCTTTTTTTTCGAGACAAGCGAACAAAATAATAAATAATAAATAAAAATAGAATCGCACCGACAACGACGACGAGCGTTCAAATATCTCGTCGCTTTTATTTAAAAAAAAAAAAAAAAGAAAGAAAAAAAAAAAAAAAGAAAAAAAAAATACACCAAAAGTGACAATTTTATTCTTCGATAAAAAGAAAATAAGGAAAGAGAATGCAGTTTATTCGTGAGAGATGATTCAAAGAAAAAAAAGGGACCATGATCGGTCGAATCCTAACGTTACACGCATATTTACTTATACAAAATCTACGTTTAACCTTCGAGTGAATCATTCAGAAAAATGATATCGAAAAGTGCAAGTAAAAGAAAAAAAAAAAAAAAAAAAAAGATAAGAAATTGTAGAAAAATAATAAAAGAAAAATGAAGAAACAACAACAACAACGTTGAAAGAAATCAATGTG